CCTCATAGGCCAACATTATATTATCTGTGATCAACCGGCCTGGCACGAACACACTTTGAGCCAAAGAAATTAAGTTTTCAAGGATTGGTTTCATACGATTCACACAGACTTTGGCTGCAATCTTATACAACCCATTGCATAACGCAATTGGACGAAGATCCTTCATTGTTTCTGGATTTGGCTTCTTAGGGATCAATACGATGAACGTATTGTTTGTCTTCGCATGCAGCTTTGTAGTTTCAATGAATTGGCGGCAAAAAATAGTGACTTCTACTCCAATGATATCCCAATAGTGTTGGTAGAAGCTAGGGCCAAAGCCGTCCGGTCCTGGTGATTTATCCGGATTCATCTGGAAGACCGCTTTGCAGACCTCCTCAACACTGACTGGCCTTAATAACTTAGCATTATGATCAGGATTCAGCTTTGTTGTAACACAATCAATCACTGCATCCATTGCTCCCTGCTCAGATTTAAAAGAGTTTAAAAATAATTCAACATCACCTGTCCAATCTCATGCTCCGATTCCACCCAATCTGCATTTTCATTCTGTATTCTATGTAACTTATTTTTCCTCTTCCTGGCTTTTACAGAATTGTGAAAGTATTTTGAGTTGATATCACCATCCCTATACCAGTGTTCTTTAGCTCTTTGCTTCCAGTATATGTGTTACTGCTCTAGGAGATAAGTGAACTCCTTCTCTACACGACTGTACTCTGCCATACCAGTAGGATTTCGGCGCGATCGGAGGTTTTGTAGCCGCTGATTACATTTGTCAATGTTGCGCTGGAAATCTTTGTTGTAGTTTCTTCCCCATTTCCAGATGTCATTACTACACACTTCAATTCTAAGAAGAATGTCATGTCCAGCCGTTTTATCCCAGCTTTGCATGACAATCTCCCTACAACGATCTTCTCTCAACCATATATTTTCAAAGAAGAATCGCTTCCTCCTCAAATTAGTATTGCAAGTTTGGTTCTCGAGATGTATTATTAATTAGTATGCAGGTTTGGTTCTCGATGTCATTATGAATCACAAATTAATATGTCATTTAATTAGCTGTCTACTACATACATTGCTTAATACAAAATTAAAACAAAGTGAATATTAATACAAAAAATTATTTCGACTAAACCTCCTAGGCATCTATAAAAAAAAAAATGTAAACAGTATTTCATACGAAATCAACAAACCGACACAGTTTTTGTTGGTTGAGTTGATTTAATTGTCTAAATTGACCAATTTTATTGTGTACATAAACTAAATACAACATCCTTCCAAAAAAAAAAAAAAGGAAAAAGTGTCAAATTGACCCCCCTAAGTCGAGTGGATAGTACAATTGGGTCCCCTAAGTGGAAAAAGCTCCATTCAGATCCCCTAAACCGGTAAAACTGTTCAATTAAGTCCAAACTGACTTGTTTAACAGGTTAAATGCATACGGTGTTGACACGTGTCCTTATTTTATATTTTTATTTAAAATATTATTTATTATAAGTAAATTAAAATAATAATAATAATAATAATAATAATAATAATAATAATAATAATAATAATAATAATAATAATAATAATAATAAACAGGCCACCAGCTATCCACGCCGGATAGCCGGTGGTTGTCTTCCTTCTTCAAGGACAGTCGTGGCCGTCTGGCCATGGCCGACGAAGGAAGACGGCCATGGCCATCTTCTAGATCTGGATGAGGGCTATGGCCTTCGCCGCCGCCCTCGTTCCAAACGGATGGGACTAGACGGGACTGAAACGTCCAGCCTCTTCCGTCTGGAACGAGTGCGGCGGCGAAGGCCATAGCCCTCGTCCACATTTAGAAGACAGCCATGGCCGTTTTCCTTTGTCGGCCATGGCCGTCTTCCTTAGACGGCCGTGGCCGGACGGCCACAACTACTTTTTTTAAAAAAATTCTTTTTAATTATTATTATTATTATTTAATTAATTTATAATAAATAATATTTTTAATAAAAATATTAAAATAAAGACAAATATCAACACCGTATGCATTTAACCTGATAAACAAGTCAACTTGGACTTAATTGAACAATTTTACAGGTTTAGCAGACCTGAATGGAGCTTTTTTCACTTAGGGGACCCAATTGTATCCACTCGTCTTAAGGGGCCAATCTGACACTTTTTTCCAAAAAAAAAAAAATATATTACAATAACATAAGTACTAAAACCGTTTAAAAAATGTTTATTGACAATTATGTAACGCATAACAGATGATGACTTGTTAATTAATGATACTTTGTTTCTAGTAAGTCAAAAATAATGCATCTGTTCGTGTTGTTACATTATTGCAAATGTGCAATATATATATATATATATATATATATATATATATATATATATATAACGACACGCTTGATCCTAAGAGAAATTAGACGATACAGACAATTTAAAAAAAAAAAAAAAAATCAACGAAGAAAAATATGATGGATTATAAGCATATTATTGTCGGGTTTGTATTTATTCATTATTTGTCTTTATCGGTGTTTGCAACATCGAGTCTTCTTTATGAAGATCCAATAATGTCAGAGAGTGAATTCAGACCAAGGTTAGAATACTGTATCCGTTTGCTACATCCGACACATGTTATAAGAGAATTCGATCCTAAACAAACTCGCATTCCTCATTTTTTCAATTATTTATCTGCAATGGATTGCATAAGTTTGCTTTGTAGATTAGGCATGGATTGTTTCCGTTAGCTAGCTTGTAAAAAGGCCTTTATTTAAAACACTAGCATTTTGTACGTGTATTCAAAAATTCATGTTCAATATTAATATAATATTAAACAAAATTATTTAATAACTTTTAGTTCAAATTTTATTTCGTAGCTTCTTAAACTGGCAAATTTTAATTAACATATTTAAAAATAAATAGAAAAAATAAGAGAAAGAATTTTTATTTTTATTTAATAATAATGTAAATAATTTTCATGATTTATATTTACAAATTCTTTTAGAAAAATATTTATAATACTAAGCTAGTAATATTATATTGGTATACATACATATAGGGAATGAGCTACGTTTGGGAGTAGAGGGGTCTTGCCTCCCCCCCACCCCCACCAATTGTTATATCGTGCGCTTTTAAAAATTTCATGTTTCGTATGTACATAATTCTATAGTAAAATACACATAAACTCTTAACATAACACAAATAAACTCTTAACATAATACACATAAACACAAAAAAGTAAAGTTGTAACGGTTGGACGGACAGAACAGCATCCATCGAGTCAACTCTTCATCAACTTATAAAAACGACATTATTTTGGGCCAGGGTGCACAATACATTGTGTGCCCTGGTACACGATATAATTTGGCCACCCCCACTCACCCCCACCCCCCTCCAAAGTTGTAGTACATATGTATATGTATATTAATATATAATAAGAGGAAACTACACTTTTGGCCCCCTCTATTTTAATATATATATATATATATATATATATATATATATATATATATATATATATATATATATATATATATATATATTGTTTATATTAAGTGAACTCTGAATATATACGGAGTATTAAAGTTCAAATTGATTAAATAAAAAGAAATAAATCAAATAATCAAATTCATTATTTTTTAAAAATCTTCAAATTTGAGATATATGCTTTAGTTTTATTAATTATGTTGATTAATTAATTAGTGATTTATTGTGTATTTTATTATTGATTTACACTTTGGCTGTACATTTGCTAGTTTTAAATATCCGTGATCTTGGTTTTGTCTTCATCTTCATCTTGATAAAAGAGTGACAATCAATATTTAAATAAAGAGTTAATTCCACCATTGATCATTTGTTTTTGGTGGCAACACAAAATTTAGTCACAGACTATCATTTTTGACATTTAACATCCCAGACTATTATTTTTTGGACACTTAGTCCTTCTCATGATTTTTCCTATTTTTGATAAGGATGTTTTTGTCTTTTCATATTTATCTTTTGTTATATTTTTTATTTTTGATTTAGGACTTTAATAACCTCTGATTTTTAGTAACCATATTTTTCAATCAATTTTTAGTAAAGTCCTGAATCAATTAAACCCATTGAAACATGAAAAATAACAAAAGAAAAATATGAAGAGACGAAAATGCACTAACTACAAAAAGGGAAAGTCATAAAGATCGAAAGACTAAAAATTAAGTTTCATTGTCCATCAAGGACAATCATATCCTACCTCTGTCCACATTCTTCACCACCTCCTCTTCAATTTGAGAAAACCTCCTAAAAAGATGTTTGTATTGGGAACATTTAAAGAGGCATACTTAGTTTTGCTCTTTGTCCCACATTGAAAGACTAGCTCACCTTTTCTCACTATTTAAACACCAACTATTTTCCTAAGGTTTGAAGTGTTATGGAGAGGAAACAAGGGGAGATATCGCGCGCGCCGCCACCTGCTCGGCTCGCATGCGCGGTAGGGTCAAAATTTTGCTCTCGCCTTATATTTTAACCCCTATTTTTATGGGTCTTTTGACCACCTTGTCCGCACACTACACACGTTAAAAGAACGTGCTGCAGTGATCCCTCTTCATCTCCTGGTTTGTAGCTCTTCTGTATGGCTGGAAAGGAAGAGGCAGTTGTAGCTATCAGTATATAACATGTCTTTTCCAACTCCTTCAAACACACCTTGATCTACGAATCACGCCTGAGCTGTAGAAGCAGGTTTTATCCCGCGTATCTGTGTGCCTTGTCGAAAACAAGCGATTCCCTGGTCGCAAATGTTTTTAAAGGAGTGTTTATACAACACGACGCAGATACTATCCTACTAAATACACAACCTTCGTCCAGTTACATAAACAGCAGCAAACAACTGTCTACGACATTCGAGTCTCAAAATCCGACAGTTAAAAACATTTGTCTCTAAAAGATGTCTCAGACCAACACCACCTCTGATGTTACTCCTATTGAACCGCTCACGGGTGGCTTGAATTATAAGAGGTGGGCTGCGAAGGTTTTGATGCTGTTAGAATCCAAAGATGTGGATTACGTCATTTTTGAAGATCCTGCCAACTTTGCTGAGCTTGCAGTGCAGTCACCTGCGCAATCTACAACACCATTTGAATTATAAGAGGTGGGCTGCGAAGGTTTTGATGCTGTTAGAATCCAAAGATGTGGATTACGTCATTTTTGAAGATCCTGCCAACTTTGTTGAGCTTGCAGTGCAGTCACCTGCGCAATCTACAACACCAGCGACCTCCAAGGATTCGACTGATCCTAAGTCGACAACTGCTCCATCAGAACCGATATCAACACCTGCGCCTGCAGAGGTTCCTGCTATTTCCCGACAACTCACTCGAAATGTGAGAAGGATAATAAAACAGCTCGCGCAACCATACTGCAGCGAGTTAATAATGCGCTGTTCAACATGTTCGCACCGCACAAATCTGCGAAATTGATCTGGGAACTACTGAAGCAAAAATATGGTGTTGATGACGTTGGAAGGCGAAAGTACACTGTGAATCGATGGCTGCACTTCAACATGACAGACGCTAAACCCGACACTGAACAGGTACATGACTTCGAGAATCTTGTAGCTGATATGAAAGCAGAAGGGGCTTTGGTGAACGATGCCTTCCTGACTGACTCGCTGGTTGACAAATTGCCTGATTCGTGGCTGGACTTCAAGAACAAAACGAAGCACGAACTGAAGAACCAGACCCTACAGGAGCTGATCAATACTATAAATATCGAAGAAGAGAACCGTATGGTTCAAAAAACTAGTAATTTTTCTGAAAACCTTAAATCTAATGTGGTTGAAACAAGTGGTGGTTTTGATAGGTCAAAGACTGGCGAAAGTGCCAGAAATCAAAAGAAGAACTCAAAACCAAACAACAAAAATCGTCCAAAAAATGGGAAAATTCAGAAAAAAAAAAAAAAAAGAAGGAAGAAACAACACTAAGTGCTACGTTTGTGGAGAAAGAGGCAACAAAGCCAAGCAATGTTATCACCGGAAGGGTTCCACAAGTGAGACTAGTCAAAAGTCAACCCAGGAAGGGCCAAAGAACCAAGCGGACCTGGTGGAAAACACAGAAAACACTGAAATGGTAGCAGCGGTGATAACCGAGGTCAACCTGGTGGGAGACCCAGATGAGTGGGTTGTGGACACGGGATCATCACGCCACTTCTGCAACAACAAGGACCTGTTCAAAGTGCTCGAGCCCAACACCGAAGATGAACAAGTGTTTATGGGGAACTCCAACATTTCTAAGGTAAGTGGTAGAGGAAAACTAGAGTTAACGCTTTATTCTGGGAAGCTTCTGTTACTGCAAAATGTGTTTTATGTCCCTTCCCTACGTAGAAACCTTATTTCCGGAGGCCTACTCAATAAGGCTGGAATAAAAATGGTTTTTGAGTCTGACCGTCTGGTTCTGACTCACTGTGGGAAATATCTGGGAAAGGGATATTTGCGTGGAGGCCTTTTTGTGCTAGATGCTTCTATAGCTAGAAATAAACATGTTTTAGCTGGTTCAAACAATTGTGATGTTTCTGCAAACAATGCTAATAATAAAGCTTTCTCTTCCGCTTACATAGTTGTTTCATTAAATCTATGGCATGATAGATTAGGACATGTTGGTACAAAATGCTTAAATAGACTGAAAAGCATGAATATGTTGCCTAAATTGTCAAGTGATGCATGTACTCAATGTGAAATTTGCGTTGAAGCTAAGTTTGCTAGAAGTTCCTTTTCAACAGTGAATAATAGAACATCAACTGTTTTAGAATTAATTCACACTGATTTAGCAGACTTTAAAACCACTGAAAGTCGAGGTGGAAAGCGTTATTACATTACTTTCATTGATGATTTTTCGCGTTTCACAAAACTTTACTTGTTAAGATCAAAAGATGAAGCCGAACAGAAATTTGTGGTTTTTAAAAATGAAGTAGAAAACCAGTTAGACAAAAAGATTAAAAGGCTTCGATCTGATAGAGGAGGAGAATACGAATCAAAATCACTAAAATTACTATGTGAAAAGTCTGGCATTATTCATGAATTAACAGCACCATATACATCCCAACAAAATGGCATTGCTGAGAGAAAAAATAGAACTCTCAAAGAGATGATCAATGCAATGTTGATCAGTTCAGGTGCTCCGGACTCTTTGTGGGGGGAAGCTTCTTTAACAGCAAACCACATTTTGAATAGAGTACCGCACAAAGGGTTTGAAAAAACTCCTTATGAACTGTGGAAAGGGCATGCCCCTAACCTTAATTACTTTAAGGTGTGGGGCTGCTTAGCCAAAGTAGGACTACCGTCCTTCAAGAGGCAAAATCTGGGGTCTAAAACCCTTGATGTCATTTTTGTTGGTTATGCTGATAACAGTGCTGCATATAGATTCCTGCTCTTAGAAAATCATTCAATGTGTGAATCTAGAGATGCCACCTTTTTTGAAACTTCATTTCCAATGAAAAAGGACTATAACAAAGTGATGTCAGCTTGTATCAAAATTCTCCTCCTTTACCTCCTAGTTTCACAAGTAACTCTGAGGAGCCTAGAAGAAGTAAAAGGCCTAGAATAGAGAAAAACTTTGGTTCTGATTTCGTGACTTACATGACAGAGTTAAAAGACCTGAATGAAATCTGTGATCAGTTCATATGTCAATTAGTTCTAGAAGAAGAACCAAAAAACCTTTCATGAAGCTATGCGCTAGGTAGATTCCACGTTGTGGAGAGAAACTGTTAAAAGTGAATTAGACTCTATACAGTCAAATCACACATGGGAGTTAGTAAATCTACCCAAAGGCAGTAAGCCCATTGGTTGTAAATGGATCTTTAAAAGAAAACTAAGGCCAGATGGGTCTATAGAAAGGTTTAAAGCTAGGCTAGTGGCTAAAGGCTACACTCAGAGATTCGGTGAGGACAATTTTTACACATACTCACCAGTGACAAAGATTGCAACCATTCGTGTACTATTTGCTTTGGCATCATTACACAGGTTGACAGTTCACCAAATGGATGTTAAAACTGTATTTCTGAATGGTGAACTGGAAGAAGAAATCTACATGGAGCAACCTCCCGGATGCGCAGATCCGGGTCAAGAGGGGAAAGTGTGCAGACTAAAAGATCTCTATATGGCTTGAAACAAGCTCCAAAACAATGGTATGAGAAGTTTCATAAAGCTTTAATAGACCTGGGTTATACAACGAATCGGTCTGACGCCTGCTTATATACTAAAGAGGTAAAGTCTAGCATTGTGATTATTTGTCTCTATGTAGATGATATGCTAATCTTTAGCTCTAACATCGAGGCTATAGAAGAAACTAAAAGAACTCTATGTGACAACTTTGACATGAAAGATCTAGGGGAAGCCGATGTGATACTTGGGATAAAAATCACAAAAACTGAGATGGGTTATCTCTTATCCCAAGGTCATTATACGGAGAAACTTCTGAAGAAGTTTTCCAGTTATGAGGTCACTCCGGCCAAGACCCCTTTTGATCCTAGTGTAAAACTGTCAAAAAACGTAGAGGCTAGTGTGTCACAAGAAGAATATGCAAAAATAATCGGGAGTTTAATGTTTTTGATGAATTATACTAGACCCGACATTGCATATGCTGTGAACAAACTCAGTCGCAACACGCACAACCCGAGTGTTCCACATTGGGATGCACTAACACGGGTACTGTGGTACCTTAGAGGCACAGTGGACTGGGGCCTCGACTACAAAGGGTCGCCAGCCGTGCTAGAAGGGTATTGTGACGCGAATTGGGTAAACGGAAGTGATGATGCAAGCTCAACTAGTGGATATGTATTCACTATGTGTGGAGCCGCTGTATCTTGGAAATCAACCAAACAATCGTGCATTGCTAGATCAACTATGGAAGTTGAATTCATAGCTCTGGATCTAGCAAGCCAAGAAGCAGAGTGGCTAAGAAACCTACTCGCAGACGTGCCATTGTGGGGGTGTCCCGCACCTGCTGTTCCTATACATTGTGATTCGCAAACTACCATCTGTGTTGCACAGAATAGTGTCTGTAATGGTAAAAGAAGACACATAAGAGTCAGACATGAGTCTGTAAGGCAGTTGATTCTAAATGGGGTAATCACAATGGAATTTGTGAGGTCTGAAAAGAATATTGCAGACCCTTTTACAAAAGGTCTAAATCGGAAGACCGTCCTTGAAACTTCAAGGGAAATGGGCTTAAAACCCAATGAGGTAAGAAATTCGTGATCGACCACCTGTGTGGGAAAATCACGGAAAGACTTACACCAAATGGCTGTTGAGAACAGTGTTGAATCTGTAGCCTACAATGGGTGGTCTATGCTAAGATAGACTTGACAGATTATAAGTCTATATAGAGATAGATAGAACAGGGACTTATTACAGAGCTAATGAGTGCAGTTAAGTTCAAAACTCGATTAACCGATGAGTTCAAGATTCCGTTCACTCTCGGGAAAAAGGTACTTAATTCCACTACGTGTCAGTTCAAGTATTACACACTGATTGGAAATTAGCTCCTGTAATTGCTCAGGTTTGGTCGGGTATAGTCTTGCCACCTTAAATGTGTGGGGGATTGTTGGGAACATTTAAAGAGGCATACTTAGTTTTGTTCTTTGTCCCACGTTGGAAGACTAGCTCACCTTTTCTCACTATTTAAACACCAACTCATTTCTTAAGGTTTGAAGTGTTATGGAGAGGGAACAAGGGGAGATCTCGCGTGTGCCACCGCCCGCTCGGCTCGCGCGTCGCGGTGTGGTGTGGTCAAAAATTTTCTCTCGCCTTATATTTTAACCCCTATTTTTATGGGTCTTTTGACCACCTTGTCCGCACACTACACACGTTAAAAGAACATGCTGCAGTGATCCCTCTTCATCTCCTGGTTTGTAGCACTTCTGTATGGCTGGAAAGGAAGAGGCAGTTGTAGCTATCAGTATATAACATGCCTTTTCCAACTCCTTCAAACACACCTTGATTTACGAATCACGCCTGAGCTGTAGAAGCAGGTTTTATCCTGCGTATCTGTGTGCCTTGTCGAAAACAAGCGATTCCCTGGTCGCAAATGTTTTTAAGGGAGTGTTTATACAACACGACGCAGATACTATCCTACTAAATACACAACCTTCGTCCAGCTACATAAACAGCAGCAAACAACTGTCTGCGACATTCGAGTCTCAAAATCCAACAAATGTCACATTCCAAAATAAAAGAATCTATATTCTCATGGATTATTGCTTGTGCTTGTCTATTTTATAAGAGCTTGGAATAGCATATTCCTTTGTGACAGAAGCAAATATCTGTAGAAAACATACGGTAGGAGATAAACAAAAGATCAGCATCGTTTAATTCAGGGGAGGAAGTCTATTAGACTTGTCTATTAAATGCAAAACTCGATCAGCACATAACTGTACTACAACAAAAAACTAGGAAGTTAACCAAACAAACACAACTTGATTTGCATTTAGAATCACAGAGAACAGCTATTTAAAATAAATAAAAACAGAATACCAAAAAGAAGTTAACCTAACAAGCACTCATGTAGAGGTGTTCAATCGGTTAACCGAATTTTTTTTCCTTTTAACGGTTAATCGAACTGAAATTTGCTCTACCGAATTAACCGAACCGAAATTCTTTCCAGTAACCGATTAACCGAACTTTTTAAAGCTAAAATTTGAAATTCTAAAAATAACACCTAAAATAATAATCTAATTATAATAGCATATATATCATAATAAATACATAACAAAATATACAAAAACATGAATTATAAACTCCAAACAATGAATAAAAAAAACAAAAACAAAAACAAAAAAAAAAACAAAAAATTTTGATTTGTAATCCATGCACGCAAAAGAAAGCCTCTATGCTATACAATTCAATAAATCTTAAAAGAGCTCTTGCATAAATAGTGGTGCAAATCCATTTCTCAAACCAATGTGAGACAAAATCTACCTTTTCCCTTC